TCCCGTTTTCGATTCATCTTGGTCTGTAATAAAACTTTATAATAACCTCTGGGGTGATTAGTGAAAAGGGAAGGGTAACCATGCATGCAAAGGGGTAGATATCATGCTCATAGGGAATTACCACACTTCTATACTCATGTATCTTGCCTACAGCTTTGCACATTTGCATATCACATGTAGATACCATGTCTATAGGTTTATGAATCCACATAGATATCATATCTGTAAGGTTTCTGCACTTTTATCATGTCCATAGGGTTTCTGCACTTCTGCACATATAGATGCCATGTCTATAGGTTTATGCATCCATATAGATACCATGTCTATAGGAATTTTGCATCTCCATATGGATACCACGCCAATAAGTAGCCAGAAATCCAGACTCTACGCATGCATTGGTCACCAGGCAAACCTATTTATAGGATTAAAAACTAACAGTATTCAAATACCATGCCTATAGGATTTCTGCGCTCTTGCTACGCCTGTAAAAAGTGTTTAAATTAACGACGCTAGAAAGCATGCCTATAGGAACTATCAATCAAATCTGAATCACTCGTTTTAAGATTAGCACTAATTACAGAACTAGCACCATTCTGTTAAAACTGGCGACTTTCTTAATCAGTTTGTTTCTTTATTCCTGAAACCAGTAGATGCCATGCTTATAGGTCATTACGTAGGCAAACAAGTATGTAGTTAATTAATTGCACTGGTCTTCGATAAATTGCATCCAGGCTAGAATGCGAACATCTTGCCTGAAAATATGTAATGAACCAGCCTGCCTAACGTTAAGCATAATTTCGACCTAATTAGTACATGTAAGACATGCTAAACTACATGATTTTCTGTGATTAAAGGAGGTTTATCTGAGCCTTAATTGTTTTGTGTTCCCATAACTGATTTCATGTGTTTTGCTTGACGCCTTAGTATTTTAACCTTTTTAAACCTCTGAAAAACCAAGCTTCCTCCCTTTAGGATTAGTAGTCCTAAAAGCCTCCAGGACTGATAGGTGGGACGGGTAATAGCATGCAATATGTAAACGAGACTATTTCACGCTTAATACCTTAACGGGGTGGGAAGGGTAGACATGGAGATGATGATCACACGATAACACTACGCGTACGATTGATTATCGGTGTTGTGTGGATGATTCATGTGATTTATAAACCTAGGACCCCTTTCCTTATACAACTTTGTTTAATATCAACAGATTCTGTCTTTTCAATCACCCAAAACTCCCCTTTATTTTTTTTTACTGCATTATCCCTTTTCCTTCTTTGTTTATAAATTCTAACATGCTTGTTAGCAACCCATATGTGTAAATTTATTTGCATACTTGTTTACATTAAAGTCACAACATAGCATGGCCGGGAACCACACTAGTGGATCTTGAGGGGTGCCTAACACCTTCCCCTTGAGATAATTTCTTGCCCTTACCCGAACTCTGGTTTTCCAACTCAAAAACCCTTAGTGTCCTAATGCACTTAATCATTAGGTGGCAACTCTTCATATCAAAAAACCCAATTCCCAAACGGGAATATAGTTGTCTTCCCGAATGTCGTAAACCCGATTTCGCGAGAAAAAGGGGGCGTCGACACAGCCCCAGCCTCCAGTCCCGGTATTTCGGATGGGGATCTTAGGGGAGCTATTCAGATGCTGACTCAGATAGTGGCTTCTCAAGCGCAGAGGTCAAATGTTGCACCTACCTCATTTAGCTTGCAAGGGGGTTCTTCTGGTTCTAGGGTAAACAGGTTCCTTCACTTAGATCCTCCAGTGTTCACAAGTACTGACCCTGAGGCAGACCCTCAAGATTTCATTGATGAGATGCATAAGACTCTCCGAGTTATGCGTGCTACTGAGATGGAGGGAGTGGAGTTGGCCTCCTATCATCTGAAAGGGGTGGCATATTCCTGGTTTGAGATGTGGGAGGGATTCCCGTGAGGAGGGGATCCCTCTAGCGAGGTGGAGTGAGTTTGTGCATGCCTTCATAGACCATTTCTTGCCCGACGAGACTAAGGCAGCCCGTGCTGCAGAGTTTGAGACCCTTAAACATGGTAGTAAGAGTGTTTGGGAGTATCACATGGAGTTTGCACGCCTGTCGAAGTATGTTGTTCATATGATGCCGACTATGGAGGCTAGGGTGCATCGATTTGTGCAGGGCCTTGGCCCTTTAGTCATTAATGATGCAGCCACAACTGCTCTAAATGCTGACATGAACTATGCAAGGATGGTGGCCTTTGCCCAAGATACCGAAGCTCGAAAGTTAAAACACAGGATGGAACGAGAGGGTAATAGTAGGGCCCGATCCGCGGGCAACCTTGGGGATTCATTCGGAGGTGGGAGATCAGCTTTTCAGGGAGGATCATCAGGGCCATCCTAGTCTTATGCCCAGTCCTTAGCCAGTGCCCCGCCATCAGGGCATGGTCAGTAGCAGGGGAGCCGCTTTAGGCCGCACCAGGGCAGCAGGGGGTCCCACCATCAGGATCGATCGGGAGGGAGATTCTAGCAGCAGCAGAGGGCCCCATGCCCTAAATGTGGGAGGCTACATTCAGGAGTTTGCTACCTGGGCACGCCAGTATGCTATGGATGCGGGATGAGAGGCCATATTCAGAGGGAGTGTCTTGCATCCTGCCAGGGGGCGGGCAGGGGCACAACTCAGTCATCCATTCCTACAGCTGCTACATCTATAGCAGACCCTCTAGCTCGAGGTTCTCCAGCATCCGTAGGGCGTGGTGCAGCTAGGGGTGGTGTACAGGGTTCGGAAGGACCCAGTCGGTTCTATGCTATGAGTGCTTGACAGAGTGCAGAGGCTTCTCCAGATGTCGTCAAAGGTATATTGACTGTTCAATCTCATGACCTGTATGCCCTCATTGATCCCGGATCTTCTTTATCCTATGTTACCCCTTATGTTGCTACAAGCTTCGGGATAGAACCGAAATAGCTTCATGAGCCGTTCTCCATATTTACTCCGGTTAACGAGTCTATTACGGCCACACGGGTTTATTGGGATTATGTTGTCACGGTGCGTGATTGGGATACCATGGCCGATCTTATTGAACTGGGAATGGTTTATTTTGATGTAATAATGGGAATGTATTGGCTTTATTCATGTTTTTCCAAACTCGATTACCGAACTAGGATCATTAGGCTTGAGTTTCCTAACGAGCCAGCTGTTGAGTGGGAGGGGAATAATGTTATGCCAAAAGATAGGTTTATTTCTTACCTTAAGGCTACAAAGATGATCAGGAAGGGATGTATTTATCATTTGGTCCGAGTTGCAGAAACCACTGCTGAGGTGCCTACCCTTGAATTCGTGCCAACTGTGAATGAATTCCCTGACGTGTTTCCGGATGAGCTCCCTGTGATTCCTCCAGACAGGGAGATCGATTTTGGGATAGATATGATGCCAAGCACCAAGCCTATATCCATTCCACTGTATAGAATGGCGCTGGCGGAATTAAAAGAGCTGAAGGAACAACTGAAGGATTTGCTAGAGAAAGGTTTCATCCGACCGAGTGTGTCGCCTTGGGGCGCACCGGTTCTCTTTGTCGGAAAGAAAGATGGATCGCTGCGGATGTGAATTGACTACCGGCAACTCAACAAAGTCACGATAAAAAATAGATACCCATTTCCAAAAATAGATGATTTGTTCGATCAATTGCAAGGTGCTAAGTTCTTAACCAAAATTGGTTTACGGTCCGGGTATCATCAATTCAAGATAAGGGAGCGGGATATTCGAAAAACAGCTTTTAGAACCCGGTATGGGCACTTTGAATTTATGGTAATGTCTTTCGGGCTAACCAATGCCCTGACAGCTTTCGTGGATCTTATGAATCGAGTCTTCAAGCCGTTTCTCGACTCCTTTGTGATAGTATTCATTGACGACATTCTTGTATATTCACGAAGTCGAGAGGATCACGCCGACCACCTCAGGGCAGTTTTGCAGACTCTTCATCAATACCAATTGTATGCAAAGTTCTCAAAATGTGAATTTATTCTTGAATCCGTTACATTTCCGGGGCATGTCGTCTCCGGAGAAGGATTTAAGGTTGACCCTCAAAAGATCGCAGCGGTAAAGGATTGGCCTAGACCTACCACTCCAACAGAGATTCGCAATTTCTTAGGTTTGGCTGGGAGATATAGGAGGTTCGTGGGGAGGTTCTCCACTCTTGCCTCTCCATTGACCAAGTTGATGTAGAAAGCGGTCAAGTTCCAGTGGTCCGATGCTGGTGAAAGGAGTTTCCAGGAATTGAAGTCAAGATTGACTTCGGCGCCAGTGTTGACCTTGCCGGATGGTACAGAGGGATTTGTGGTGTATTGCGATGCTTCAAGGATTGGTCTTGGGTGTGTATTAATGCAACATCGTAAGGTTATAGCTTATGCTTCAAGGCAACTTAAGGATCATGAGAAGAACTACCAAACTCACGACTCAAAACTTGCGGCGGTGGTGTTTGCATTAAAAATCTGGCGTCATTATTTGTATGGAGTTCATGTAGATGTATTCACCGACCAAAAGAGTCTTCAATACATATTCAAAAAGAAGGAATTGAACTTGAGGCAAAGAAGGTGGCTTGAGTTGCTCAAAGATTATGACATCGACATTCTGTATCATCCGGGGAAAGCTAATGTGGTGGAGGATAGTCAGAAATGTATGGGTAGTTTGGTTCACTTAGAGGCAGGTCAAAGGCCCTTGGCCCGGGAGGTTCACCAGTTGGCCAGTTTGGGAGTTCGTCTTGCGGACTCTAGCGAAGGGGGAGTGATTGTGCGGAACAGGGCGGAATCATCACTTGTGGCAGAGGTCAAAGAAAAGCAATACCACGACCCAGTGTTGGTACAGCTGAAGGGATTCATAAACATAAGACTACGGCTTTTTCACTTGGCGTGGATGACGGTACATTATGGTACCAAGGGCGACTACGGTTCCAAATGTGGATTGTCTTCGGGAATGAATCATGGCGGAAGCTCACACTTCTAGATATTCTGTGCACCCAGGTTCCACGAAAATGTATAATGACCTCAAGGAAGTCTACTGGTTGAATGACATGAAGAGGGGCGTAACGGACTTTGTGGCAAAGTGTTCAAACTGTCAACAAGTGAAGGCTGAGCATCAAAGGCCCGGTGGGTTAGCTCAGCGTGTAGAAATTCCAATGTGGAAATGGGAAATGATCAACATTGATTTTGTGGTGGGGATACCGTGCACTCCACGTAAGCTCGACTCAATTTGGGTGATCGTGGATCGACTCACGAAATCAGCACACTTCTTACCAGTTAAATCCACTGACACCGCGGAACAGTATGCTCAATTGTATATCAAGGAAATAGTCAGGCTTCATGGCACTCCCGTTTCCGTCATTTCTGATCGAGGGGCCCAGTTCACAGCTAATTTCTAGAAGAAATTTTAGCAAGGTTTGGGCACGCAGGTAAATCTCAGCACGGCTTTCCACCCGCAAACTGACGGACAAGCAGAGCGGACTATTCAGACGCTTGAGGACATGTAGCGTGCTTGTGTGCTTGACTTCAGGGGTAGCTGGGACGATCATCTGCCGCTTATAGAATTTGCTTATTACAACAACTTCCATGCCAGTATTCAGATGGCGCCGTTTGAGGCCTTGTATGGCAGGAGATGTAGGTCACCAATTGGGTGGTTCGAGGTTGGAGAAGGCGAGCTAATAGGACCAGATCTTGTGCATCAAGCTATAGAGAAGGTTAAGATTATAAAAGAGCGGTTAAAAACTTCTTAGAGTCATTAGAAATCCTATCCGGATGTTCATCGTAGAGACTTGGAGTTCAAGGAAGACGATTGGGTGTTCTTGAAGGTATCCCCCATGAAGGGGATCATGCGGTTTGGAAAGAAGGGGAAATTGAGTCCGAGGTATGTCGGGCCATGTAAAATCATTCAAAGAATAGGTCGGGTAGCGTATAAGCTTGAGCTTCCCCCCGAAATGTCATTAGTGCACCCGGTATTTCATGTGTCTATGTTGAAGAAGGTAGTTGGAGACCCGTCCGCTATTGTGCCGGTTGAGACCATTGAGGTTAGTGAAGAATTGTCCTATGAAGAGATCCCGGTCACCATTCTTGATAGACAGGTCCAAAAGTTCAGAATCAAGGAAATTGCATCCGTAAAGGTATTATAGCGAAACAAGCAAGTTGAAGAAGCTACTTGGGAAGCTGAGAATGAAATGAGAAAGAAGTACCCCCATTTGTTTGAATAGCCATGTAATAGTTCTATGAATTTGTTTCCCCTAAAATTTTGTATTACTTGTTCGGCTTATATAAAGACATTCCTTTCTAGTTATATGTCCTTATGAGGCTTCGAATGGTGTTGTTTTGGCCTTTCGTCATCCTATTTAATCTGTCGCATGTTGTAAAGAGGTGTTTCGGGGGCTGTCTGACAGGTAGATAGGCCTAATTACAAGGGAAACTCTAGCAAAATTTTCAAAAAAACATATGAAAGTTAGGCAAATTTGGGGCTGATGGCGTATGGTATAACTGAACCTAAGTGAACCTTGACCCTCATTCGAGGACGAATGACCTTAAGTGGGGGAGGATGTAAGGACCCGTAAAATTCTTAACCAAAAACTCGGGATTTCGTGGTGCCGAGTTAGATTCTTGCATTATTATAGTAGAAATTCTTCGCCGCTCGCATGCTCGCCGCGGTTCGGACATTTTGGATTGGAGGAGAAGCATAAGAGGACCATCGAGCATAATAAAATTTTTAGCTTCACTGTCCAGGACCTTGATGTCAGCCTCTGGTCCATTAGATTCGTGTGAGATAACCTCTCTGCCGAGGTTGACCGGCTTAAAAAAGAACTTCAGCCGGGCGGCTTTCCTCATTGTTGAAAAAACATATGCTATGTACAACATGAGGAGAAAAACCTTTGAAGAGGCCAAAGGAGGTATCATTGACTTTGATGCAGAAATCGCTAAGGCCTGTGAGGTGGAGTCAACAACCAAAAGGGGTCTTCCAGCCCGACCTGATGCTACTGACTCTTCAGGTTCTGGTTCCGAGTTCTCGGCAACTGAAGAAGAGCCGGAAGGTAATGATGTTGAAGGCCTAAATGGTGAATGCCAAGGTGTTGAGCTGGCGACGGATCCTCCCACATCCCTTGGGGGTGCATCTGCTTCTCTTTCTCCGGGTTTCAGAGATGCGGTAGCTTAGTTTTTATTTTATTTTCTTTCTCATATTTTTGTACTTGTGCTGTTTGGCACATTTATTTTGAATAGAAGCACTTTTTCGTTAAAGTATCGTGCAAGTTTATCTCTGTGCTTCCTTCCGTTAAAGTATTCTCGTAAGTTTTCTGCGCCGAGATATGCGAGGCTTTGGGTGTATTTTTCCCCGGTAGTATTTGGATTCCGGGCATAGGTTCTTCCGAAAACTGTAAGGACCTGTGAAATTCTTAACCAAAAACTCGGGATTTCGTGGTACCAAGTTGGATTCTTGTGTTATTATAGTAGAAATTCTTTTTGGATTGAACAATACCCTACAAACTTAGAGGAAAATGTTTCCCAAAGAACACGTTTCTGCGACCCATTATGCGGCCGCATAATAGCTCTGCGGACCACATAATGGCCGCAAAGTGAAACAGAAGTTGGCCAATTGTGCGATCGCATAATCGCTATGCGGGCCGCATACTGATCGCATATCTGCCTTGAATTTTTTTGAAGGGAATTTCTGCAGTGCATTATGCGATCGCAAAACAGATATGCGGCTCGGACAGAAGACTTAACTTCCTGAGGCTCTTTCTGCGGTTACTTTGCGAACCGCATAACCATTATATGCTACCAAAAATCTGTGTCGGGGCACCCATTTTCGTTATTTAAAACCCGACCCCCATTCCGTTAAAACACCCCCCCCCCCTCTTAGGCCATTTTAAGCATATTTTTTCTGATAATTAGAGTAAGGGAGGAGGATCAAAGAGAGGGGAAGGGGTCTCTATCCATTGTTCATCAAATCCTAGCCTAAACATCTTGAAGAATAATGAACAAGGCGCCTAGGTCTCCCTTCCAAGAAGTAAGCTTCTATCACCCAAGCTCTCCTTTCCATGTTGTAGCTAAACTGGACCATTAGTGAGGTAATTCATGAGGGGTTAGGGTGATTGCCTTGCATGCATGTGATCCTAAGGTATGTGGGGGAGTGCAAAAACAAAGATTGGGAAGAATAGGGAAAGGGTTGGGGAAATCTTCCACTAAAAAGGGGCCCTGGAGCCTAACAACACATAATGCTTGATCTAATGCTCAAGTGAGTTAGGGCTATTATCAATTTCCTAATAATAAGTTCAATTGTGCTATATTGTTAAATAGATTGAAGGTGCTAGAGGTTCCGGAACTTGTCGTAGGGATTTACAAAAGACACAAATAAGGTATGTATGGGTAACCCTCTTCTTCTTAGAATTGAACTATCGGTGTCTGAAAAATTGGCGTGAGTTCTGAATTGATCATACTAAATGGTCTGCCTTTATGTGTTGGGTTGAAAGATTTATGTTCCATAATTGTTCTAAGTGTTGCCCTGAAATCATGCTATTGGAAAATGTGATTTTGTTCTCTAAGCTTTCCTTTCTGTTTTTCTTTTCTTTCCTTATGTGCGCATGCCTTATATGATAGCACTTATTGACATGGATATTGACGATATTTGGGCAAATAACAAAAGGAAAGACTTGAATTATAAAATGTGTCCAAGTGCCAAGAACTAATTAATAAATGGGGTTGCTTGTGTCAAGTAATGGAAGATGGAAAGAAATGTAAATGGAATAGATAATTGAAAGAGGTTATGTCCCAGGTCAGATGGCTTAGCCGATCGGACCGAGATCGGATGCCATGCTGTACACATGGTGGCATTTTTGTTGGATTTCTATTATCATTATGAATTTGGATATGTCTCTCATGGGATGGCTTAGCCGGTCGGGCCGAGACCGGGCTCCGTATAAAAACCACAATGGCATTATGGGTTGTGGCACTTGGCACTAATGATCATTAACCTAAAATAGGTGGAAAGAATGAACCAGAACTATGTGATCCTTATTTGGTGATTCCTTGTAATTCTGTGAAGTATTTGTTGATTTTCGTAATTGCCTTCTATTTGTTTCACTGTTCATTCTAATAAGATTTGTGTTCTCCTTACATACTAGTACTATTCGACAGTACTAACGTCCCTTTTTGCCGGGGGCGCTACATCTTTGAATGGATGTAGGTGGTTCCATCACAGATATCGCCGATCGCAGATAGTGGTGCTCTCTTTTTCTCCTTACAACAATCTTGGTGAGCCCCCATTACTCCCAGGGGTTTTGTAGTTCTTCTTTTGTATAAATTTCGATATCTTGAGGTATAACCGGGGCCTTGTCGCCGGCATTGTCATGTTTATCTTTTGTATCCCTAGAGGCTCCGTAGACATTTATGTGGGTCACGCATGGGTGGCGGGGTGGCTATTAGATCACATTATATTTTGAAACTCTTCCACTAGATTGTCAACCGTATGTACGTTTGGAAACATAATTATAGCGTATGGTGTTTATATAAAAATGGACTAGCAACGTTTTTATATTTATATAACTGATCTCTCCCCTCTTTAACAAATGGTGATACGTTCCCTTTTCGGATCTTGAATGAGTCCGGTAGGAAAGACTGGATAGGCTTGCTCGACTGGGTTCACTCGGTCGTGCGTCGGTCGCGCTCCCCGAGGTTGGGGCATGACAAAAACAACCCTTTAACGTGAAGGTTTCATAATAGAGGGACTTCTTATGTTTACAGTGTTGTTGAAGAGCACGTCTCCTGTTCTTTACAGCACTAGCATTTGAAGTACTTATTTATCTTTCAAATGATAATATCAATTCTTCATTCAGACAAGAAACAAGATAGAAATAAAACGTCTTTACTTTATTCCTTCTATTTTCAAAAGTACGCAAGCATTTGTTGTGCTAAATAGAAATTGCCACTTCTTGTGGCTAACTTGTACAACTTGTTTCTACGGGGCTGGCTGTGCAGTCCCCGGTCCAGATATTACAACTTATTTTTGGGTTTTGTATTCCGGTTGATGTGGAAGTTATTGTTGGCGTATCCTCATATCATCCCCTCTCCTAGTGTTCGAATGTGAAGAATGCAAATTTGAACACTGGAAATTTTGCACCTTTAAGGATTCCACTAGTGAGGCAAAAAGGGCATCCCGGTGAGGATTCAACTAGTGAATTTCTAGATAATCTTCACTTCGATAGCAAACTTTACTTCCCCTTAGGAATTTATGCTATCGAGCCAAAGATTATCTAACAGCCCCCTAATGGCTTGCACTACTTTACTTCCCGGTGGAAACTTTGCTACCGAGCAAAAGACTATCTAACCACTCCGTAGTGGTTCTTTGCTTGCGTTCCATGTCATTTAAAGGTCTTATTTCAGCTACTGAAGCTTCCTTCATAGTGTGCTTTGAGTTTCCGCCTCGTTAAAAACCTTGCCAGAAAAATCCAATTGGGACACAAACTGGACGAAGGGAAAAAGAGTGCAGCACATACTTTCAGTATAGGCGAGGCTCATCAGCAATAGTATCTCTTGAGGTGTACCACATTCAGTTGTTGGAAATTTTTGACCGTCTTGATTTTATAACGCGTATGACCCTTTCCCGGTGATAGCTGAAACCTGGTAGGGGCCTTCCCATGCTGGACATAGCTTCCCCGCATTGAGTTCCAGAGTGTTATGAGTTACTTTCCTTTAAACCAAGTCACCCACTTTGAAATAACGGAGGTTGGCTATTCGATTGTAATATCTTTCCATTCTCTGCTTTGGGCTGTCATCCTTATATGAGCTAAGTCCCTGTGTTCATCGAGAAGCTCCAACTTAACCAACATTGCTTCATTGTTTACTTCTTCATCCGCATGGGAATATCTTTGGGTAGGTTATCCTACTTCCTCCAGGATCAGGGCTTCCGCTCTGTACACAAGAGAAAAGGAGTTTCTCCCGTGCTTGACTTGGCTTTTATCCGGTATGCCCATAGTACTCTTGGAAGCTCTTATGGCTATTTACCTTTAGCTGCTTCCAATCTTTTCTTGAGATTTTGCATAATCAGCTTGTTGGTTGATCCTGCTTGACCGTTTGCACTCGGATGGTAGGGTGATAATGTGATCCTTTTGATTTTTATGTCTTCAAGGAACTT